TGAGGACTAGAGACATGGCGCGGCACCCGACCGGAGCGCAAGGACAGCTGGTTAGCGGTGGGGGGGCTTGAAACGTAAAGAGAATCAGATTAAAAAAAATAAAAAATATATATTTATGTACACACCAGGAAAAAGGGGGGATTCTGAAGAGGAGTTTCCATTTTGCAGATGAGTACCAGAGGTTGGAGAATAATCAAAAACCACAGAAGGACTGAGAAAAGCAGAGGCTGCTGCTGCAAAAACAGAAGAAAAGCAACAAAAGAAGATTGAACTTTCCTGGACGTGAGGACTTCTGGACACCAGCTCCCTGCGGTAGGTCAGATAGATGGTTTGTCCACAGTGCTGCCCGGATCATGAACGCACAGCTGTCGATGGAGAATATTGGCGACCTGCACGGAGTGAGCCATGAGTCCGTGACCGGTCACGGGGAGCTGCTTAGCGGCCACAGTCCGCATTCCCGTCCCAACCACCGGTCTCTGGGCCACCGCGCAATGGGCATGGCGACCCTGCTGGACAGCGGAGACTATCACCACGGACACCCCGGACACCTGCACCCGGCCATCAGCATGTGCGAAGCCCCCCACGGCATGAGTGCGAGCAGCACTTACACCACCCTAACCCCCCTGCAGCCCTTACCCCCCATCTCCACGGTGTCCGACAAGTTTCCTTCCCATCACCACCACCACCACCACCATCCACATCCCCATCATCCGCACCCTCACCACCACCAGAGGATCCCCGGGAACGTCAGCGGCAGCTTCACGCTGATGCGAGAGGACCGGAGTCTGGCGCCTATGAACAGTCTGTATCCCGCATATCATCACAAGGATCCCTGCATGGGCCAGAGCTTGTCCCCGTTGTCTGGTTCCGGTCTGGCCAGCATACACACGTCCCAGGCCGGTATCCCCCCCTACGCGCATCCCGGTGCTGCCATGCCCGGTGAGAAGATGCTCACCCCCAGCGGGTTTGAGGCTCACCACCCGGCCATGCTCGGCAGACACACGGAGCAGCACATGAGCTCCTCGGCGGGCATGGTGCAAATCAACGGCCTCCACCACCACCCGCACGCCCACCTTGGCGCGCAGGGGCACGGCCAGGGGCTGGGGAACGGCCGGGAGCAGGCCTCCGGGCCCGGGCAGCAAGGGGGTGGAGGAGGTGGCGTTAATGGGGGGCAGATGGAGGAGGTGAATACCAAAGAGGTGGCGCAGAGGATCACCACGGAGCTGAAACGCTACAGCATCCCTCAGGCCATCTTCGCCCAGCGGGTCCTCTGCAGGTCCCAGGGGACCCTGTCCGACCTGCTGAGAAACCCCAAGCCCTGGTCCAAGCTCAAGTCCGGCAGAGAGACCTTCCGCCGCATGTGGAAGTGGCTGCAGGAGCCTGAGTTCCAACGCATGAGTGCGCTCAGGCTCGCAGGTGAGCGAAGCCTCGGTAAAGTCCCCTTTTTGCTTTCTTTTTTCTGAATGTGTTGTTGAGAATAACAGACGCTAAATAAGCATGGAGGAGGACCACTGGCCCTGAATGCTTCCTTATAGATTTGAAAATGGGGTCAGGTGGGCTGGGAACCAAAGGTCAGCATTCCAAGCGTAAACAATTATTAGGGTCGCATTCAGGACCAATTCACCTCGAGGCTTATATTTCATGTATTTAAATAGCCTATAGGGAAATATCTCCAACTGTTTACATACATTGAATTTTAATACAAGATGCTGGAAGTCAAATTTTCAAGGAACCAGGCCGTGCGTCAGTGTTTGGTGAACCCATGGTTTATTTGAACGATCCATGGACTCCACATCAAAGATGGAGTGGGGGTCTTCCTGGAGTGTGTTTAACAATTTGAGAAGTCGCCAAAGCTGAAAAAAGTTCATCCCTAAGGTGATCTGAGCGGCCTGATATCAATATGCACCCTCTTTTCTGTTTCTACACTGATTCTCCTCATGTCATTTAACCTCAAAATATCGACCGACGGAGTGCGTGCGTAAGATGATCCTGAGCCCAGGAATCGTTAGGAATGTGTTTATTTTGGTGAAGATGCAACTGTCAGCGTTTTTCTGGTGTTGAGTCTTGGTGTAAACAGACAGAGCCAAAAGTGTTTGATTGTGCGTGTGCGCGTTTCCTGGAGAGTCTGTGGTAAACTAAAGTTAAATGTGAAGCCGGAGTCAGTGTTTACATGGTGAATGGGTCTGTCTCTCACTTTGGAAAAAAAAGCTTTGGACTTGATTGCAGAATAGAAAAGAAAGAAAAGAAAAGCAGAAGAAAAGAATAAAAATGAACACTGTCTTGATTGAGTTTTCTCAAATGAACTGGCAATGCTTAGTTGATTTGTCCCTGAGGTTGGCACGACTCAAGTAGGGCGCGCAATAAAGGCCCTAAATCTTTGAAAAGTGAGGCTGCGGGTGCATGCGGTGTTTTTGAGTGCGTGCTCGTAGCCTATAATCGCAATTGATTATTTTTCAGTTTTCCCATCTGCTGCTCTGTGTGTGTGTGTGTGTGTGTGTGT